TTGCGGAGCCTTAACAATAGTACTTGTAAACGTCTTTAACTTCAAATATACGTATGTAATATACGTGTTCCATTGATATTTCTTCTTATACAAGATTTAATCTATTGTTTAAAATTTTTGAGAATATCCAACTTAGAAAACGTATTTCATGATACTTCTGGATTGTAACAGCAGTATCCAATTGCAAAATTTAGAGGATCTATTGAATTGAAAAGTATTTGTTGGCAATCAGATAATTTAACTGTCTGAAAACTCTACTGACATCTTAACATCGCTTGAAAAATCAAATTGTATTTATTAAAGTAGAAATTTTGCTTCTGTTTTCCTTATACCATCTGAAAGTAGACATTTTTAATTTATTATCGTTACTATTTCATTAATTTTCTTCCTCCATAAAATTACAAAAACGTAATTAATGCTATTTTATTGTTGTCATTATTACATTAGAGTTCATTAGGAGATGAGTATTACTGCCCTATCTGCACCGCACTGTTTTCCTTATTGTCTCGGCTCTATTATCTGTGAAGATGTCTTTATAATGAGGAAAACCTTTACGAATTCCTCATGAAAAATCCTAAGTACATAAAGAATTTGTATGGATTTATTGATTTTAAGTATAGAAATATTCGATGAATATTAATATTTTAATTATATAAATTTACTAACCCTTTCATTTATAGTCAGGTGACACAGCAAAAGAAAAATCTGCTTATTTGGATAATTGAGTTAATTGACGTGTAAAAAATGGAAGTTAAAATTTAAATTTTAGTGGAAAAATTGGGACGAAATTTAATTAATAACTAGCTGACCCGGCAGACTTCGTACTGCCTCAATAAAGAAATAAATTATGTCTTATTTATTTTTTTGGTGTTTACCTTTAAGCCATAAATCTCCGTGATCTGAAGTGCGACAAAATGATTGACATATTAGTTAGTTGTCAAATCTAATGTCAAAAAACCGTTTGTATTGGAAATAAAAAAGCGCTGTTTTTAGGGTTTTCCCGGAAATTAATAAAAATTTTTCAGCTTTTAACCCTTCCCTGAACCTCCACGAACATTTCAAGACTATGATAAGATAAATCGGTTTAGTCGTTGTCGAGTTTTAGTGAGACCAAGGAACAGCAATTCTTTTATATCTATGTACTAGTTTTTGCCCGCGACTTCGTCCGCGTTAATTTCATCATCTTCTTGTTCTATATACATATATAAAAATGGATTGCTGTTCCTTAGTCGCGCTAAAACTCGAGAACAGCTGAACGGATTTATCTTAGTTTTGAAATGTTCGTGGAGGTTCAGGGAATGTATAAAATCTGAAAAAAATTGATTCACTACTGGGAAAACCATAAAAACAGCCCTTTTCTATTTCCCATACAAAAGTTTTTTTTTTTTTGACATTAGATTTGACAACTAATATGTCAATCATTCTGTCGCACTTCAAAACATGCAGATTTATGACTTACAGGTAAACTCCAAAAATATAAATAAAAAACGTAATAAATATTTCTTGATTATAGGGCGATACGAAGTTCGCCAGGTCTTCTAGTTAGTAATATATGTATAGCTGACCGGGTGAACTATATTCCGTCCTAGAGGCCATAAATAATCAGGTTTTTCCTGTTTCAATCGAACAACATGATTGAAATATTAGTTAATTGTCAAATCTAATGTCAAAGAAAACATTTGTATGGGAAATAGAAAAGGGCTGTTTTTAGGGTTTTCCCGAAAATGAATCAATTTTTCTCACCTTTTATACCTTCCCTGAACCTCCACGAACATTTCAAGACTAAGATAAAATAAATCCGTTCAGCTGTTCTCGAGTTTTAGCGAGACTAAGGAACAGCAATCCATTTTTATATATATAGAAGATATATATAAAAGAAAGTCGTGTTAGTGACTTCACGTCTTATAACTCAAGAACGGCTGAACCGATTTCGCTGAAAATTGGCGGGGAGGTAGTTTAGAGCCAGGAAATTGCAATAGGATACTTTTTATCCCGTTCAACAGCATTCCCGTGGGACTTGACATGAAACGTCAGTCACTACAAAACGTGGAATAACGAAATACAATTGACAGCTATGCAATTGACGTATAATGACAGATATGTAATTTAGTATTTGCGGGATAAATTTAGAAAATCATTGTTTTTCACATGGGCAGTTACAGTTTGTGTGTGCTGGGAAACCATCCGCTTTATTTGTGTTAACGTTAGACCAAAAACAAAAAAATGTGATTTACAAAGGAGCACTTCAATGAAAGTGATAATTATACTTTGGATACTTTGGATTCACTTTCATTTACTTAGAGAAGTTCAACTAAATAACACTTCGTTTTTGTAATCGAAATGAATTCATTACTGTTGTGAAATGAAATAAAAATTTCCTTTTCAAATATAAAACAAAAAAATTCTTCATCTTTTAATCACCAAACGAAATGTTATATAAAAGCCTTCTGGTGGCGAAACGGAGTTCGCCAGGATTACTAGTATATATATATATATATATATATATATATGTTGATGTAAAAAAATCATTATGTCAAACTGTTTGGAACTTATTCTGACTTGAATTAAAAAATGGCCTGAAAAAATATGGTTAACTCGTATTAAATGTTTTTTAAAAACTCATAATAATGATATCAATATAGAAGTTTCCTGCTTATATAATAAACAAGAAACATTACAGCAAAATACTTCTTATTTGGTAATATACAAAATTTTAGGCATTTTGCATTATAATGGGAGTATACTTTACATGTAAAAGAACTTGATTGTTATAAAATAAATTAAGTGTACTTTTTCTTTCGTTTACCCTTTGGTACTTCGGTAAGATTAAATATAAATAGTCTGGTAAGGACTGGTAGGGTTACGAAATGAAATTAAAAAATAATATGCCTTCCGAGCCGTAAGATACCGTTCTTAACAATAAGCTTTGAATGATATTATTTATAAGGTTTTGAATAATTTGTTTTTGGTTTTTCATTTGATAATATATATTTTTTTTTAAATAAAGAAAGGTTACTATTTTGAAGTCTAATTTAATACTGAATTATTACAGACAAGACATTGTTGTCCTTATCTAAGCCTTCACAAGTCCATACATTGATCATAATCATAACTAATTAATTTTCGAGTTACCTATGATAAAAACCCATATAAATGTAAATATTAAAAAAATCATATCAGATATATTTTAAAATCGTTATAGAACTAATGTTTGATGTCAATTTTATATTTTAAAAGTTCATGAAGCTCTTACATAACTTTATTCTTTGTAAAACTATAGTTTAGAAGAGAACTTATTTATTAATATTTAAGTTTGTTTAATATTCACATTGTTTTGCATGAATTAGGTTTTTAATTATATTATTAGTAACAAAAGTTAAGTCTGCTGAAATAATATCTAAAGTTTAATTGAAGCTACAGATGAGAAAATCTTTTCATAAAAGAATAGTTCCTAGGCGATGAGTATTGTTATTTTAAATGAAAATAAGACTGCGTTGTATTCACATTTCATACCAAAAACATTGTCATATTCCTTAGTAATACTGTGAATATAACCCGAGCAAAATATTTGTATTTATAAAAGGTAAATAATTAGTTATACTATAAATTTATATTAAAATATATAACAACTACAATTAAATGATTATCTTCACCTAACTATTTTTTTAATAATCATATACTTAATCACACGTTTCTACTTTCTATTATTCCAGACTTCAAACATAATTTAAACAAATCTATAGTTTTTACATTTACCCGATATTTAGATTACTTTCCTGTAAACTCCATTATTGTATATGTTCATAAAATATTCACGCATAGAATATTGAGTGAAAATTAAATTTTAAGGCCGTGCCCGCGTATAAGTAGGGTCAAGGTTGAATATAAATAAGCTTTCAACAACATTGACTCCAGAAGAGCATAAATATTAATGCCCTTAAAAATACCGGTATGTATTAACTCGCAGTTACTAGGCCTAAAAAATAAAGATTTTTTTTCATTTATAATATTTATCATAAAATTTCAGCACAAATGTGTTTAACAAACAATTGTAATACAGAACGTAAACGAAACAATATAAACGTGATCGATGTTGAAGGACTGAAATATGATCTTTATTTTATTATTTTCAACTTACAATTAATAATTTATACTGGGCGATTTAAAACTAGCTATAACTTTGCTTTTAAATTTTGGCAGACTGTCTGAAAAAATGTCTATATCAATTTCTTGATTTTTTTATAAGTAGGCTATACTGTCTAGGTAGCCTACTCATGATAGCATTCTGTCCTAAATTCGTTTTTGAGCGTGGAATCGAAAAAGGAACGTATTTACTCGCACGAGGAAACCTTGACGGTGCATTAAAATATTTTTTTTTATACGAGTTGTTAAGTTATTTAAATTGTTTGACTCCTTTCATTTATTTGAATGACAAAGTTTCATTAACTTCATTATTCTTTTTACTCACGCATACTGGTAATTGTTGAAATCTTAAAACTATTGTAAAATTCAGATTATTTCTTTGTTTCCGATGCACGTTAAGAGCTATTTAATTCTGGTACTACGTCAACGTCATTGTTGGATTTTCCTATTATAGAATGCCATGTCAGTCACAAGGGATAGTTTTTGTTTACGTGGGTCAAGTTGATCGTTACAATAGATGTTATTTTGTATTTATTAATGTATACAATTATTTTTATGTTTTTATTCAATTTTGATTCCTTACCAACGCTAACATAAATGAAAGAAAAGAGCTCTTAGTAATTTTATATCCAGTTCTCATTAATTTTGTTTACAAGCTTCTACAGAGTTTATATATATGAACTTCGGATCGTCCGAAATTTCAAATAAATTCGAAGCCTCGACTTTGATTTACAAATGAAATAATAAATACGTATTTACATGAAATTGTATAAATAGAAGCAACAATATATTTCAGAATTAATGGAGCTCGAAATAACAATTAAAATACTTGTTATCGTTTGAATACGACAAACAACTTGATATTCAAAGTTTTAACAAAGTCCAAAGTAAACAATACCGTGTTATTTGTTACAGGATTAAATGCCGTGAAGATAGTGAAATTATCCGTACCGGAGATAATACAGTACGGGGTGCAAGACTCTGTGATTCTGGACTGTGATTACACTTATGGCAACAATACATCGGGATTGGTGTTAAAATGGTTCTTCAAGAACAACGCCCGGCCCGTATATCAGTGGATTGCAACGCAGAAACCACAGGATATAGGTATATTACGGGGTCGAGTCGACTTGACTTATCGAGCGTCGAACGATCCATTAAAAATGCATAGAGCGTTGCGTATAGTGAAACTGAATACGGACATTTCGGGTAACTATACGTGTGTCGTATCCACATTTATGGAAGAAGATTCGAGAACAAAACAAATGATTGTTTTTGGTGAGTGATTTTTTATGGACTTTCAATATTTTATGTTATGTTATCGGTAGTGGATGGCGGATAGCGTTATAACTCATATTTTTTTATATCTGTAACCTATATTTCTTAAATAACTTATATAGTTTTACCAACCACCAAAAAGTACTCATAACAATAAAAGTATTTTCATATTTACGCAGGCTCATTCTCTAACATTAACGTCGTGTGAGAAAAAAATATTTTGAATATATTTCTAATGAATGCATTAAGCATTTATCCTAATATGATATTATAATATTTTTTTTGATTGATTCTAATCTTTTACTCATTATATGTTAGTAAAATATGAAGTGTTTAGATAATTTCCCATATATAAATACTAAGTGCTTTAAGTAATATAACACATCTGCTTCCCTTTAACTAATTTAATTTATTGTAAAAAAAAAATATCGATAAGTTTCAATCAACAAAGAGATTTTTCAATTTCTCAAGCTGTAAGAGTTAAATTTTATGTTCTATTGCCTGCAATTTAATTGTAGATCAATATAGTATAAAATATATTTCCTTTGCCTAACCACTTAGCCACATTTTGGCTCACTTAGGTTTTGTTTATGCCAACATCGGTTATCAGCTTCGCATCTCTTTTTATGAGCAAAATAGAAGTAAGGCTTCGAGTAAGAGTATCATGAGGCTTATTGTCATAAACGTCACCTCATGCTTGGATTAACATTTCTTGAAGGGGTATTTAAAGCCCATAAATATTTTATTATTTGACGGAGTACCTTAAACAATAAAAGTTTATTAGACTAAACTTTTTTATGTTACTGAAAAATATTATACAGTATTTCAAAAAGTTGTTCTCCTCAAGAAATTCTATCCATCTTACAGTGCCGTATTGTAAAAAACTTTTGTGTTATTCTTTAAATAAAATATGTAGAAACAGGTTCCACATCAAATAAAAATCTTTATAGCTCACTAGTCCGGCAAGACTAACAAGTAAAATTGCATAATACATATTTTTAATTGGATTGACAACATAGCAAAATTAATAATATCAATGTTAGTACATATAAAAAGGAATATGACATTTTTTCTTTTTATATTCATTACCTGTAGGAACTTCGTGTTCACCGGAGATAACCTTTTAGCATGAAGGGTATGAGTATTTATTCATTCTGTTTTCTTATGGCGAAATCTACATATTTGGCTGTATTTCTTTGTAAGGACCACAATACTTGAATTTACATCAATGTCTTTTAGGAAATATTCTGTTTATATTTTTATTTCTCCTCAACATGATATTATACAACGCTTCTGTAATTACCATTCTCTTAAGTCGTCTTTGTTTAAATAACAGTTCATGGCGTTAAGGGTAAAAAGAAACCTTGCCATGTTAGAGAGATATTGTATATATCTTTTAATTATATATAAATTATGAAAATCACGATATACCGATTGGACCCCACACTTTTAATTAACTGTATTGGAGTTAACTTTAGTAATATTATAGAAATAAAAACTCTGGCTACGAGCTAGTATCCTCAGCAGAGTCTAAATGATTTTTGTGTGATAAATCATCTGATTGACATTTAATGCTTTTTGAGAAGATATAGAGGTTTCTTGATTTCTTTGCCAATAGTCAAATCTCTCTAAATTTTCTGGTATTTTACTGGTATTCAATTTTTTCTTCCCTTTAGTGTTATTATCGCATCTATCAAGAATACTTAAGGTCTTCTGCTCCTATCTTTATACAATTACTTTAAAAAAAGTTTCAACTTAGTGTCAAAAAATATTTTTATAACAAAGATCTCGTTATTACATATAATATCAAATTTTAGTATAAGTTCCAAAACTAAAAGACAAACTATCTAAAATACGTATTTTAAAACATTGTGCCTAATTTTATAAATAATATTAAAATTAACGATACATAGTCGCAAAGGCATTTCCGTTTCCTTTCTTCCATTGTGAGTACAATTTATGATCGGTGTTGGCTTTTTTGCTATACATAATTCCAGAAGTGAGATGAGTCACGTTATCTTAGTACAGGTCCCTCATTAATTGATCGGGAATGTAATAGAAGGACCAGCACAATAAGTTGTGTAGGAAATTTTCCTAAAAATATAATATGTGAGGTGCTGATCACCTGCACTTCGAACGATTAGTGGTTTAATTTTGAAAAACTAAAATTAAGCACAATGTAACATTACCTCAAATACTAAAAGATCAAGTGGATTACATTTTACGTATATAAATACAAGGAAGATAGTAGAATTTTTTGTTTAAAAAAACGCAATATCCGCTTTCTTAGAACACAGAGTATATTTTTTTTTTTTATTAAAAAAATATACACAATATTCTTTGTCAATTTTAAAGTATACGTTAAACATCTGACTTTTATTATTGAAGAAAGTACATATATACAATTTTTTTTCTTAGAAAAGTATGGTACCTGACATTTAAAAACAATTCTCGTTTTGTTAAATTTCTTGTGTATTGTCAATTTATAGCATCATGTAAGGAATGTCAGTGTATATTGTTTATGTTGGAGGTTGCTTTCAAAAACTTTGTGGCAGTCCAACAATTTATGTACATATTTTTAATGGAAAAGGTAAAACGGAAAGAATGGGTAACTAAGTTACTCACGTATTTCTAAAAATATTGTGAGCTATTCAAATTTTGATGAATGGGAAAATTGATAAAGCGGTTGCTTTATCACTTTTATTGAAGTAATTTTACTCTCATTTGTTTTTCCTAATCTTTAAATTCGTATTTTTTTTCCCAATAACTATAATTGTAAGACATTTTCATTCAGTAAAGTTATAAATGAAAATTCTCTATCTCACTTAGATATTCTAATGAAAAGGGATAGAAGCGACGAAATGAAATACACTTAATGCCATGAAATTATTTTTAAACTGCATAACTTTGTTTAGCTACTTTGGCAAGCACTGGTTTAATCCTTAAAAGTAATTGATTAGTTAGAGTTAGTCTAGCTATTTTATTATTCTTTAATAACTATAAACTTCTTTTTGATTTTTATGGTAAATGTTAATAAATAAATAACAAAGAAATTCAATAAAAAAGTATTACATATTTATTGTATTTGAACGGATATGAACGCTCTTTATCAAAAATCAAAGTAGCCCTGATTTTTTATTTCACTTCATTGAAATTAGAAAAAATATTTTTGACTCATTAAGAATGTTGCTCTCAGATATTTTATTGGGAAAGTCAATAAAATAATTTTGCAATGCACAAACTGCATTTCATGTTCTTATGTAGCTTATTTTTTGCATTATAAAGTGCTTTGGAATAAAATAATTATATAATAATTATTATATTTATGAATGTCTCCAACATTCCAGTAATATATATATATATATATATATATATATATATATATATATATATTATGTTATCATTATTGCAAGTTACGACCGCAACTTAGGAGTCACATTTCAGAAATTCCCTCATCAGACCTAATGTCTCAGAATAACTTATTCCGGTATTATCCTTATTCCATACTTCTTTCGACCCTAAAAAAGCTTTTATGTGCAGTTTTAAAAAGAACAAAGTTTATAATTATATCTGTTTTTAAAAATTTAAAATTAAAAAGTGAGAAAATTTAATAAGTTTTCTAATGTAATTTCAATATGATTTAAAACTAAATTTTCTTTTAAGAACTCTATAGAATTCACTATTTCGTTAAAATTCAAAATATTATGTTATTTAATGCACTATTTAATTTTTGTTACCATTTGAAAATAAGGTTGTATAGAAGAGATCGTCATTAAGCAATAAAACCGCCTTGTTGTATATTTACTTAAATTTTGAAGAATTAATTATTTTTGTACAATCATTTCATACTAATACCGTTCGCTCCAAAGTAATATTTTCCATTATTCCCAAATGGTACGTTATTATTACATACTTCATTACAATTTTAATCATGTCGCTTTGTCGCAATAAACAAAACACAATTCGGTTTTGTAAACCTATAGTACAGATGTAATATAAAAATAGTGTATTAAATACTTATTTAAACTTCGATAATGTATTGACAAAATTTTAAATTATTGCACTATCGTGAATTGTATCCTCATAAGTGTAATGTTTCAGTACCGGAGACGAATTTTCGTTTGATCCAGAACAAAACCGATGACGACACAGTAAATGTCATCTGTGTGGCGGATGGAGCCTTCCCTGCGCCAAACCTTACTCTTGCCACACCAAAAAGGTATTCTTCGTAATTTTTTTGCTATAAATGGATAATAAATATTAATCTATACATCGAATACTGAGGATATTTTACCAGATGATTTAAATTTATAATGCTCATAGGTATTCACTCTCTTTTTCTTAAAAGGTACTGAATAGGCCAAAAAAATTTTTTTCAATTATAACTAACTACTTCTAGTTCGTCTTAGTTGATAACAGCACTATTGTCACCAGAGTAAGCTTAGATGATTATATAAATTGTTTATACAGGTAATATGTTATATCTTACATTTTCTTAGTAGTTTCAGTTACAATAATATATATATTATCACAATATGTTTCTGTGAGCTAGGTACAAACCGTTGCTATTTAGATGCAACATTTGTAGATAACACTAAAATAATTTTCCCGCAACGGTGTGTACCGACACGTTTATCAGGACAGGCTTATTAGTTAACCTCAAAACGTTCGTTGGTATATAATAAATTATGAAGAGTTCTCTATTTTAAATTGTTCTATACTTATCTACAAAGTTATTCAAAAGTATTCTAAATAATAGTAATACTTGGTCGTTTCAAATAATTCTACGGATGATATAATTTGATTGATTTTTATAATACAGTAATGTTTACAGCATAGAATTCTATTTTGAGTTGTTTTTTTAATTTTTAATGATTACACTGGAAAACAGCATGTCTGTTGTATGAGATTTTTTACATGAATCTGAATAGTTTTTCCACGCTTATTTCAAAAATATATGCCGTTTTTATGTAGCAGCTCTAGTTTTGGAGTTATGAAGAGACAGGGTTTTTCATTAAAAATGCACAAAATTTAAGTTTAAAAAATTATTTAATATATTTATTCTGAATAAAATTTCCTTTTTGTGGATTTTCTAGAGTGAGATGTATCATGAGTACTATTTTGAATGCTCCAACAATAACCAGCCATCATATATTCCTTCCAGTACCCCTGATACGTGTTCTCCATAGCGCGAATATCCTGTTGAAAGCGCTCTCCTTGTTCCTCGCTTAGGTCACCTCGATTTTCAGGAAAATAGTCTAGATGGTTGTGAAGATAGTGAAGCTTAATACTCATGTTGCATCCAAGCCGCTGGAGGTGCATCAGCAACTGTTCAACGTGCTGAATGTAGCCGTCAGACATAGTATTCTCAAAAAAATTCTCACTACTCAAACAAACTCTTCCCATGCACATTTCTCAATAGCTGTCATATGGTTGATGAAATTTTTATCATCTATCATCTTTTAGACAGGCCAAGTCCCATGATCAAGTCATTTAGATCATCTTTATTCAGTAATCGGGGACTATTGTCTCTACCACTGTCGTCGTTTCGGTTTGTCCGCTGCACTGGTCTGGATTTCCGAAGATCTACAAGGTTGCTGTGGTGTTGATGTGTCAGTAACACTCAAGACTGGTCTTACGACAGATTTTTAGTTTGCATATATCCACTTAGAGCAATTTTTATGGTTTTATTCCTATTATTTTCGTTACACAAAAATAACAGTCGTTATGATGGTTGGGTGGTTGACGCCATATCATGGGAGATTTGTACTTAAAATCTGGTCTTTTTCTGTTTGCCTATAATCGCAAAGATTCAATACAACTTTTACACACCAAAATTGGTATCAAAGGTTTAGCGTTTGATGGCAACGGAAACCCAAAGTAGTCGAAGTACGCCTTCTTTACAAAGTCTGACACACTTAAACGACATTTTTGGAACATATATTATCCGCAAATAGCACAAAAACCCTCAGGATTATTTAAACACGTCCTTCTTGAGGAAGATATAATGAAATTTATAAAGGGACTAGTTAAGTTACACCGCTATTGGTAGAAACTATTGACAACTTATGTAAATTCAAGACGGACCTGTATCTGACTAACTAGAGCTATTACAAAAAATCTGAGGTCAGATTTAAAATTAGCGCACCCAAATTAGTAAACAACAGTAGAAAAACTTCATGCAACAAAAAAAAAGTTTGATTTTGTTGTGCTGTGTTATTATTAATGAATCTTATTTTAATTTAATACTTATCAAGTATTTAATTTCGGAGAATTCGGTGAGCAAAATTGAGAAGAATTGAGAAATCGGTGTATTAATAATTATAACAACAAAAACTCTATAGACTAACTTACATTAATATAATATTTTCCATTTTTTTTAAATATCACTTCCTAACATCGTACACACTTCAACTTAGTATACTTATACAAAATCTTGAAATTTATATTTTCCAAAACCATAAGCCATAGCTATTCAGAATACCTTAAGCGGATTATGCTCTCAATATTTCAGTGGATATTTATTCTCCTATTCAGTTGCAAAAAAATAATTTAATTTCTAAAATATTAAAATAATTTAAGCCTTTAGTGTTTTTGAGAGATAGAAAGATAAATTTACAAAATAGCGTAGCAATACGGGATACGGAAAATTTAGGAATTATTGTGTTTTTGGAAAATTTAGCATTGATTTTATTTCATTATTTATTGAAAACTTGTGTTAATTTTAAGTGATATATTTTTACATAAAAATGTTTATTTTTTACATCAAACTATATTTCGATATGATGTAATTGCAAAAGAAAATAGTGATTTCTATTTTTACTTCTTTTTATATGTTGAGGCTATTTAACTGTATTATTCACGAAAATACAAAAGGTATAACGACCTGCAAAACCTTGCTGTACACTTGAAATTTAAGTAAAGTTTAAGTAAAGTTTAAAATTTAAGTAAAAATAAAACCAAATATTTAATTCTAGTTATTTCTAATATTATTTTTCAAATTCCATTAAACGTCTGATATTTTTCAAACTTAATTAAGGTAATGATAATAAAATTAATAAGTCTAGAAGTGTTATAAAAATATTGAGACATAAGAAAACAATTTTTCGTTGTACGACCCGTAATTTTTAGATAAATTCTACCTAAACGAAATGTTATTTTCACTTCAGAACATAACCAAATAGAATAAGATTATAAAACTTGATGAAGCCGATAAGCAAGAAAGCAGGAATTTATTCTGCGTTTACCTTCTTAAAAGGTAAAACAGCCAAAAATAATCGCGACTTTTTTGAGGAAAAAATCTAAGGGTCTAATAAGAAATATAATAAGTATATCATAAAGCTAGTTTCTTATAACTTAGCGAAGTTAAGCTAGAAGTAATTACACTATACAAGAAAACAAATATTCAAACTTGTAATTTAAATTTTAAAGCAACGTAAATAAAATTTACGCGTAGGTAGACTATTTTGTTTTCTCTTGATTGCCAATTTACAATATGAATATTGTTCGTAAATAACATTACATTCGAGTTTTAAAATATATGATTATTGTAAAAGTGATACAAATGTTACCACAACATAAATTGAATACGCTCTAAATATTAATGTAACTATTTGCCGATGTGAAGAGTAAGGAGAATAAATAATCACTTATTTTCATATGTATTATATTTTGTATGATTAAAATAATTATTATAAAGATTACGAAATCCTAGTTATACTTGAAAGAAATCTGAGATTCACTGAAATTAACTACAGTCATCTTATTTAAATGTTATATGTGAGATGTTATATACTACAACCCATTAAAAAAGCTAATAAAGCTGTAATAATCCGGTTATATATGTATATGGATGTTTATTAAAAGTGAAAAAATGCTTATTTTTTTATAAATTATGAATATGTAACCTTAAATTAAAAAAAATAAAGTTTTTATACATTTTAATGTAGAGGAGTTCCCATTCCTCTTTTTTTGCTCTCAATTTATTAATTTGATCAATCTTAGAAACAGGCTAAGAGTAGCCATAACGAGTCAAGTGTATACCAAAGTGGCTATTGCCTGATGTGTTAAGTCTACGGTAGACAGTAGAAGTATTGCAGTGCATTCGTGTAATAGTTAGTATTATATCTGAAGTCAATTCATGGCAAAATTATATAATTCGATATCGATATATTTGCAATTGTTATTTGAGTTCGGATAAGAAAATTCGCTTCTATTTTAACGAAATGTTCTTATACATATATCTGACGATAACGCTTTTTAAACATAAACTTGTTGGATATAACATAATTTTCACCATCTTTTCTTACAATTCCTTAATAAACTTGGTAGACAACTTTAAGACATTTTAATGAAATTTCCAAATTCATTATATGCAAGATAGTCTGATTTTCTAATGCATTGTTTAAAAATAAGCAATAATATGGTTCAATTGTAAAAGTATTGTTATATTGTTCTTAAAACTTCAAAATATATATTTTTAGAGCTACATTTAGAGCTTACTGCTAGAAAAATTAAATTTTGGACCAATAAACAAGGAATTATGAAAAATATTTTGAATTTTTTGACAACTTTTTTAATTAAAAGCAAAATTAAAAATGGCATGGCATGGCATCTAATGTATCCTTAGGGTACCTATAGTTTTTTGTTCGAGCCTGTATTCTACAAGGTGTGATTTACAATAAAATTTTCAATGGACCATAGATTTCTGAAAAACTTGGCAACGTTCTTAAAGTAGATATTAAATCCGGTCCCTTTCACCACCTGGTGCTACCTGCCAATTTTTTTATGTTTTTATAACACGGCTTCATATTTCTACATAAAAACTAAGAAGTGGTAACTATCTTACACGATACTATTAGTTTCATGTTATGATGTAGGCTTGATGATGATTTCATTGAGAACAAGAGAACGTAGAACATAATAATATATTTTTTTAATGAATTAAAGGAAAACGAAATCATTTTAAAAGTTACAAAGACCGTTAACAAGGTCTTAGGTAGGTACTTGCAATTAAAGAAAAAGATTACCAGAAGTACACAGAACTACTTCTGTTCCATGAGGATCCAAACACCAAATGATAATAATAAAACATGATTCAAAACATGTGAGTTTGTAATGCTTATATTTTTTTATATTAATATATTTTCGTAGGCGATTGGATGGTGTTTCTCACAGTCTGAAACTCGTGAACGGAAGATATTCTGCCGTCGCGATTGTTACGCTCCAGGACGCTGATCTACCTTCACCGTCTGAGTTTATATGCACTTTACGGGTACCCCTTGCAAATTATGCAGTACGAAAAGAAGCTATATACTATCCAGGTTAGTTTATTATTAAATAATCATCAATAGATATTTTCTTTACATTAGAACACTAAGTAATGTCATAGGTATACCTAGTCGGAACCTTAATGAACTGGCCTGATTTAGCTCTACGCGACATATCGCTACATATTGTGTTGCATTAAATAGTACTTTTATCGTATACTTAAGATAAGGAACACGCATCGAGATGAAAAGCTCCCTAGTTTAGCAGGCCTTTGAGTAACGAGAGTCGCGCGTTTTTTTTTATGTTGGTTAATCGTTTCATTTTCTTCATTCGTTCATAGTCAGGCCAATTCATTATGGGACCGTTGAACTGAAACCGCATCAACTATTAAAAAACTAAAAATCTAGACGCCTGTATTTTAATAAATCTAGCAATTATTTCGCTGGTAATCATAAATAAATATTGTATAAAAATGTGAAAATCGCGAGTATCATTCTAGCAGTACAGTTAACAGAACAGCATTACCGTAACAGTTAACAGACAAATACAATCTGCTTGTTTTTTGTTTACCTAAAAAATATAACAAATCAACCAGTGACATAAGTCCTCGTAGGCATAAACAGAATACTATTTTTTTTATTTAAGACAAGCAATTTAACCATTTTATAAGTCCATCAATGTTATACAGCTCCTACGTTTGAAAAGAAAAAGGCAATGGTAATTTCTTTTAAAGGTAGGCACAGATACAACAATTTGCGGTATAATTTGCATCGAGCCATTTAAGCTTTTTATCAACGGAAAGTTTCTATCTAAACTGGACTTGAAATGAAACATTACCTGCAATGAAACTTTTGAATAATTTTAGGCTTCGTTAACTCCATTGTAATTATAAAAAATATCTAACAGAATAGATATAACATTCCTTTGTATACAATACCTATAGTACAAAAAATAAAGATAAAAATTTTAATTCAATAAATAGGAGATAAATTGCTTGTTAGATGTGCTTAAAAATGCATTATTTACATTTAACGATTGTTAATTGAAATAAAAAGGTTCAAGTATGATTTTTACTTCCAAATATATTAACAAATTACAAATAAATTGCAATTGTATAAAATATGAACTTACATTTTGATCGGTCTCATTTTTTTATATATTCTTTTCAAATTTAATTTATTCGGAGAAGTACATTCAAGAGATTAAATTTTATGCAATTCGTAGAAATAATTAACATTTTATCTTTTTTTACTAGGACCTATAAGCACTACTCCAGAGACGCCGACCGCTGCTGATATGCAGTTTGCAGCTGCGGTGGGGTCAAAAGGTATTTTACTCGTAGATCTTATGATAATATTTGAAACAATATCAAACATTAATAAACTCCAACATTAATTGCTACTTCTATATCATAACCGAGTCTTATAAGCGTTGAAAGTTCGGCAACAAGCAATTGCATTTATAAGAATTTTATATTATTTTTCATGAAATTTATCCTTATTTATGGATAAGATTTGAGTTTAAAATGAGTTGCCCTGAACTATTTACAAATATTTAATGTTTAAACTCAACACCTATCCCTTGTTTGCAGAAAAAAACCCTTAGCGGAAGGTTTCAATTTTATTTTAGCAATTAGTACTGCAGTTACTTAACTAAAGACAAACTTAAAGATCAAATTATACTGTGTAAGCAACGGTAACTTTAGTAGAGGTTGTCTTAATGAGATTAAATTAAAGAGCTTAATGTCTATTACAGTGATTTTTACAGTTTTATGAAGGGGGTTTTATTTTAATTATTGTATAAAAACCTACAATATATTTAAATTAAAAAGTAATTAAATTAAAAAAACAATCAAACACAAAATACAAGACATAAATTTTGTATTTTATAATTTATACTCATATGGCTCATATTACATAATCGTCATTTATATCTGTTTATTTTTGTTTTAGGTGCAAGTTATCACGCTGCTGTATCAATAGTCCTGCTATGTTTGGCTCAATTATGATTTTATAGTAAAAAGAAACAAAAAAAGTAAGGTACATTTTTAGTAAAAACACATTTAATAGTTATTAAAAAAAACTATTTTGATACTAAATCCTTGAATATTTGTTTCTTATTTTGATTTCAATATTTCAGATTTCACGGAAGATGAAGATTACAACACCTCTGCATATTTAGATATCTAGTCATGATGTCCAAAGTTATGAAGATTACGTAAATTGTTTAAATTCTCGGCGTAAAAGCTTTTTTTGTACTAATGAATACTAATTGCGAGCTAAGATTTACAGATAATCTGATATTTTAATGTAGCTAACAATTTGTACAGATTATATGAAAAAGAATTTCCTTATCTTCTATATATATAAAAATGGATTGCTGTTCCTTAGTCTCGCTTAAACTCGAAAACAGCTGAACGGATTTATCTTATCTTAGTCTTGAAATGTTCGTGGAGGTTCAGGGAAGGTATAAAAGCTGAAAAAAATTGGTTAATTACTGGGAAAACCATAAAAACAGCCCTTTTCTATTTCCCATACAAAAGTTTATTTTTACATTAGATTTGACAACTAACTAATATGTCAATCATTCTGTTTGATTGAAACAGGAAAAACCGGATTATTTATGGCCTCTAAGACGGAATAGAGTTCGCCTGGTCACCTATACCTACATATATTACTCTTGACCAATTCCAATTTTTCTCACCTTTTAAACCTTTCCTGGACTTCCAGGAGTATTTCAAGAGTAAAATTAGCCAAATCGGTTCAGCCGTTCTCGAGTTTTAGCGAGACTAAGGAACAGCAATCCATTTTTATATATATAGAAGATAAAATTGTTTAAATAAATTATTCAGATTTGAATAGAAGCACATATTTAAAATTGGTACTATTAAAATTATTAATTATTAAATTTTTTAATTACATATAATTATAGAGAGGAGTTTAGTATTATAGTCCGGTCGTAATTATATGAATCAGGATATAATACTCGACAGTCAGATTCCTACTGAAAAGTGATTCATTCGAAATGAAAAGTTGAGCTCACGAAATATCTTAAAGTTTATTTCGAAGTTTTGTGATATGTTTCCTGTTTAAGCTTCAAACACAAATGGTTTAGTTAATATATTATAACTAACATGTAACTTGACAAAGCTTCGAGTGTGAAAAACAATATAGTTATGAATCGTATACAGTATTATAAATTTAGTTTTATTGTATTAATATAATGTTACTGACGCTTATTTCATTAGAAAATTTAAGATCACAAGCATCATACTTGAAATATAAAATAATATAAAATGAAACCAGATTTATTTTCAGTATTTATAGTTCTTGGAAATTTCCTATCATTATAAGCACAACGGTTGACGACATTTTTTTTGTGGTGGAAGTTACTAAGGTACTTGTGAATGAAATAAACATTTATTAGACTTTGAACTAGAAACAAATTATCCACAAATAAATAAAAATATTATAGGCTGCTTAAAATTTCAAATTTGGATAAAAAAATATGCGAAAATTTCATTTTAAGGAATAACCGAATGTACCACCTGAAAAATATTTAGAGACCATGACGATACCAAAAAAATAGTGTTACCTATTGAGGTAGTATCTCTTCACAAGCTATGTGGTAAAAGACAAACAGTCAATATACGTATATTCAAATCTATGTCAAAATATTTTTTGTTAAGTTTCATGAAGGATGTTGTTATCCTTCAAAAACAGGGTATCGTGATTTTTGTTTATTTTTATTTAATGTAATATCTTATAACTATACTATAATCATGAATTTTGGACAATATTGTTAATCTAAATTTTGTTATTTGCCTTATTCTTAAATTCCATTAGACATATTTTTCAAGACAGTATCACTATGCTTGTTGTTCACTTTTTTTTGTTGTAATTTGTTGAAATTGGTTAAGTAAGAATTAAAACATTTTTTTATTTGTCCATTAATAAGGGCTCTTGTAAATATTTTTATCGAAATTTATATTGTAAGTTTTTGTTAATTTATGAGAGTTTTTGTTAATTCGTTGTGAAACTGCCATTAATGGATAAAATCCAATTAAAACTTTTTGTGAATTTCAAAAATAAATGAAACAGTCATTGTATAATTTGCTTTTTTATTTAAATATTGAAGTTATGTTCGAACGATTGTTAACTGACAACAAAGATACACGCTCTTTCGAAGATAACTATATTTTTTAAACATTCTTTGCAAATAATTATAAAGTAACTTATTACATATAAAAAGACATATTTCTGTGTTTAAAAGAATAAAATGTTTTAAATAAACGAAACTTCTTAAGATTCACTGGATTCACCGTCGGATGCCGGTTTCCTCTCCTCGAGGGAAAGGAGCTTCAACAGTTTTTAGGACCTGCGACAAAGGAGTTGGATTAAGGGGCCCCTATCTAACGCACGTTAAACGCTCACCTCCACTGTCCAAGCTTCTCTCTTTACCAAACCAAATTTGAAAGAACCTACTAGGGCTGCTTTCGAAGTACGTTACAAGAATAAATTGATGTTAGTTATATTTTAATAACAAAACGTATTATTAAGTCAGTGGTGGCCTAGTGGTTAAAGGGCCCATTTCTCGTTGCCGAAGGCGTGGGTTCCAACCTGGCAAGTACCAATGTGTTTTTCGGAGTCATATGCACTTTCTGAGAGTATTAAGACACAACTGACATACGGTGAAGGAAAACATCGTGAGGAAACCTGGACTTATAATTTCACAATTATAAGTTTGAAAGTGATTAATGCTCAAACCTTCTCCATGTGACAAAAAGGCCTTTGCTCAGCAGTGGGCTCTGATAGGCTGATGACGATAAAACAAACGTATGTCTATTTTTTTAAAATAAATAAATAATAAAATTGAATTGAAATATTTTTTTATTCTCATAATTAGTATATTAATATTAGTAAACAATCTTAGTAAATTATATCCAATATCTTATCTCTCTAAAATCAGTATTGATGATTTTTAGGTGGTAGGTTTAATAATTTATTCAACAAATATGACACTGTCATAGATACATACATTTAACGGATATTTTGATTATCAATATCGTAGGTATCAAAGTAGAAAAACAACATAAATTGTGTGCATATATAAAGGTGGGTAAGAAGGTGGGTTGTCATATAACTGTAGAACTGTTTAATGCACATGACCTACTAGGTATATAAAAAAATTGAGTAATGTTCTTAATTTGTTGCATTAATCCATACAAAAATCTGCACAGTATATTCGTTGTGTCACGTACTAAGGTAGGCCACAATAGTACATATATGTATATGTAAACAGATTTTCACGTTTTGAGCTTAACGATATCAAATAAAAGGTTTTATAAACTGTTAAAATTTATTTACAGATTCCAGTTGAATGGAATATTAAAGTTAACTTCAAATTGAAAATCGAAAATTTTGGAAGATTTCGTTTATAATAAAAAAGGCAATCATTCACTCTCATAGTTCCATGACGTCCTTATTGAAATTTTACTCTCCTTTTTAAATTATATAGTTGTAATCAAACAATTTAAATTAATATACGTATTAGAATTTTAATCCTCGAAAGTTGTCGTATAGTATTTAAGTTATGAATGTTATTTAAACACAAAAAAACAGAAAGATTCAATTTAATCTTATGAGTAACATTATAATTTATTCACCAAAAATTAATTTTTAATAATAAATTACAACTCACAAGAAATAACAACTATTTTATGTCTTAATGTGGCTATAAAATACAAAACAATTAGACTGATAAACATATGTAGTATCCAAATGAAATGTGTCACGAATTGACATTTAAGGCGTTACGCTTGAATTACCTACCCCTTTTATGAAATGTCATTGAATGAACAAAGTTAATACATATATTCAATATAATATATGAAGTTAAAATTTGTAATGATAAGTTGGGTGTATAAACATTTAATGGAACAGAAACACTTTTTTATTTTTATTTAAATAACAAATGTCTCAAACACCTTCTTTTTCTTTTTTTTTGATTTATTTAGGCACACCAACAGTACACATATGCAACATTTACATAAAAAATACAATCAAAAGTATAGGTCTTCATATGTACACCTATAACAGGTATTCACAGCACTGGCTAAAAAGTTTTATAACAACGATAACACCTTAATCCAACTAAATTAAATTACTACTATTACTTCTATAAATCATTATTCGTACAGGACATATTATTATTTCCTATTATTACAAATGCTCCATTTCAAAATACGTTTTAATTTTAATTATGGGCCAAATATATTTAAAGTTCCCACACCACTATTAGACAATAATTAATTATATAAGCAACGAGCTTTAACAACATGTTTCGTAAAATGTTCCATTTTATGAAATTATTTCTTTAATTTGATACAAATAAGCTTTTAATGATGAGGTGATATGACAATAAATCTTCAATCACTTGGCAATAAAGCGTTCTCTCGGGAGCGATCCGTTTTAACGACCCTCATTAACATGAGAGTGCTGTTATAGTTATTGCTGATATTGTTTTTCAGTACTGACATACAGCATTTTTTCAGGATCAAATTTTACATAGTATTCACCATTTATTTTATACACATACATTCAATTTTCTGTTTTTTTTATTCACATACATAACGTCTGATATTTTAACACTGTTAATCTTAAATACGAGCAACGTGCTATCTAAATGGGAAGGGCACCAATTATAAATTGTAATTACTTTTAACAAAGGAAACAATTATGGGAAGCCATTTGTTATATTTATCAGACTCTCATTATGTGTGAAAATTATTATTATGTAAAATAAATTATGGGTTTTCTTTTAATACTAAACAGGGTAACCGAACAGACTGTCCATATTCGCGACATTTGCGGTTGTGTTGCTACCATTGATTGAGGAAGAGGAAGAGGAAAAGGAAAAGAAGGGGAAAAGAGGAAAGGAAGGAAAAGAAAAGAAAAGGCCACTATCTCACGCACTCATTGGAAGAAACGCAGCCATTAAAGGCTACTTCACCCCGATCTTCTGTGAAAGGGTGGTACTTCCCCGGTCTAACCAGTCCCTGTTCGAGCTGCAGTAATTGACCACAGCTAGTATCTACAACGTTTTTCTTCTTTGTAATTGAAATAACAAAATAAATTCAATAACAAATATAAAAGGAAGGAAAAGGGAAGCGATGCGAAGAA